GCACTAAGCCCACAATACGTAAGGCAACACTGAGTACTGGCAGTGTGCCATAGAATATTAAAAGTTCACACCTTCTCATTAGTGAACTCTCACTGAGATCATGCCTTTTATTCACATCTACCTTTCTCGAGTATTGACCACTTCAACACTCTAAGGTAGTATAATATTTATAAATCTCCCTTAAACGGTTCTTTAGCCTATCTAAGGTACTTTACTTAATTACACTTCCTTAAGTGCAACTTCTATTCTTTATGATTATAATACATGCAAACAAATTTTGTTTCCATAAAATATTGTTGTTAAATGATTAGAAAATATATTTACACTATAATCAAAGTAGTACCCCATAACCCCTTATAAAGCACATTTAATCTTTTAAAATATGTAATACATGATAGCTAATAATATTTATTCAAAAATAGCTAAAACAAATAATAAGAAATATAAATTTCCCTGTTACCTCAACTCTTTGGTACCAAAAGGGTTCCTCTTGTACAAAATAGGGCTCGGCTTGTTCCTTAACTTCCGAACAAATTCCACCAATAATTCCTCCAACATATAAGTGATCCACATCACTTATCATGTTAAATAGCATTAATGAAGACTATAACTCATACCATACAACTTGGGTCTATGAGCCATAATCTATCTTATATTAAACCAACCATTCACATAGTATCACTTAACCACCAAAACTATTTATTAGCCATCACTAGGTTAATTTTCAATTTATATAATTTTTAATCAATTAAAAACCTTCACTTAGTGTCACCAACTTTTACCATTAGCCCTTATAATGAAAATCAAACCTCAATTTAAATCTTATTGGGCTCAAATAGCAAAATTATAACTAAATCAATAGGCTTAAATCATTGAGGAGCAAAACCCAACCTCTCAGGGTTTAATTTATGCCCAAAACACCTCTTTTCATCCAATTATCTACTCAAAATATTAGATCACTATATAGAAATTCAAAACATCTTCCCTAGGATCCAAAGAAATAAAAGCTTACAAGAATAAAGTCTTTAGGATCAAAATCCAAAAATTTTCTCTTCCAAAAATTGAAGAAAATCAAGAGGAAGGGAAGATGATTGAAGTAGGGAGTTTACCTATCGCGTAGCCGAGCTCGCAACAGCCGCAAAGTCTCCTAGATCCGAGCCTAACTCCCTCTCTTTCTCCTTTCTTCTTCCTCTCTCTCTCTCTCTCACGCGTTTCCTTTCTTTTTCTTGTTTCATTTCTATATTTCTGCATCTGGTTTTTGTTTAAAAAAGCTGATATAAGACTTTGGCAAAAATTACAAGAAAGGGCCCAACATTTTTTATTATAGCACAAAAGCCCGGGTCAAAATTGGTAATTTTTTTCATAGTTAAAAATCAAATAAAATCAAACTTTTGCTGAGCAAAATTCAAACTCTGGACCTCTATCAAATTATTTTAAATTTTAATTTAATTATAGATATTTTATTTTATTTTTTAAAATAAATTTGAGTCTTACAATTTTTAGGATGTTACATCCTATTCTTGACTAAACCTATAGGCTACTTACAGGACCAAACCACATGTTTGGTCCAAGCTCACCATTCATAGTAGAGCTAGCTGGCTAAGGCATCCTAACCTATTTCTAAACTACAAGTTTCCCCTATTACAAGTAATTGGGGTGTCATTACTCCAACACCTCATGCTATGGATGCTAAGGAGCATAATCTTTAATACCACACCTTTACGAGCACTAAAAAGACTAGTTCTCTAACACCACACCCTTTTCGGGCACTAAGAAAAGTATAAGTTGTATTTAACATCCCAATATGTCCATGATGCCATATGGACTTAATCTCAACTATTCCACTAGGATGAACTCTCACCTTGACTAGCATATACCACATATCACCACATTTATATTCTAAGTAACATACATTAATGTTCTTTTCAAAACATATATATAACAAATATCTTTACCTTTTATTTTTAAAACACAATTTTATATACCTATACTCTACTTTTTTCAAAAATACTCTACTTTTGCAAATCATATGTATACATATTTTATGTGCCCTAAACTTATACAAACAATTATGTAAACAATTTTTGCAAGCTAATTAAATAATACATATTATGTAGTTATCTCAATCCTTTTGTCATCAAAAGGGTTACTCGTAGTACAAAATCGCTACTATTACCTCTTGATCAATCAAGGTTCCACACATCATAATTTACAACAATAAGCATTATATGTTAATTCCCAAACTTAACATAAGTACTTTTTATCTACATTTAACTAAATCCTACTACTCACAACCCATAATCCCATTAATTGAGCTAGTTAAAGTCAAAATTAGCTTATGCCATCACTTCAAATCCCTACTTATAAAAATCAAAACATATCTTACTTAAACAAGATCCAAAACCCTAAAATTATAATAGGACTTAGGCCAATCCCTTCTTTAATCCTAGCACCTCCTAAAACTACTTGTCCCAAGTCCAAGGAACATAGATTAGTCTATTGGAATCACATGCAAGCTTGGATCCTTAGTTTTTTCCACTTATATCAAAACTTCTCACTCCCAAACCACTTGAAAAAGAGAGAAAGAAGGGGTAGAAAGCTTATCTAGGAGTTTGAAAGTCCAAGTTAGCTTCCAAGATCGCCCCCACGCTTGCCTCAGTAGAGCCTTTCTTCTTCTCTCTCTAGCTTCCTTAAAACCTCACTTCTCCTCTAATTTTCAAAATTGATTCACAAGTTATTAATTCTAAAAATGTGTCATGTGCCATCGCTTAGCATGCATTTATTGTGACATGTGGTACAGTGAGAAAACTATTACTTGTCTCAAGCCATTCCATCTTGATCTGACCCATTCTCCACCCTAATTTGTCCTTAAAGTTGTCCAATAATTCAAAGCATCAATTATCAATCTGCAGACATGATTTATTTACTTAATCTATCAATTCTACCATTAATTAGTCATTAAGTCCTAAATTAGAACTTAGGATGTTATAATCTCCCACTCATCAAGAATGATAATGTACACCTATTACTGGACTCCACACTAATACTTTCGTAAGAGATGATGATTCACGACCATCTAAATGTGTACTAGACTTCACACTAGTTCCCCTTTTTAAGGAAGGTGATGCATGGTATGTGCCTAACACACAATTTGTCTAAGTATGGCAAATCCACGTGGATTTCAATTGTTGCCTAACTAGGGTATTATGACTCATTCACTAACCATGCTCAATACCCATGAGATCACATTTAAACATATGTTTAAGTTTTGATATAAATCATCATTTTAAATCACATTTTCATCAACCTTGCCTGCTTGCATAAATTTTCAAAACATAAAACACATCATTTGACATATATAAAAATATAATTTCAAGTTCATAATATTTATTAGTCAACTAAACAAGCAAAATTTAAGAAATAGTTTCCCCAGTTACTTTAAACCTTTAGGTCATCAAAGGATACCCTTCAATTAGACTTACTTCCCAAGTCAAATCCAAGTTTGAATGGTGCACTTGATAGTTAGTCTACAATTTACTATAGTTGGTAATTTAGGCGGGCCGAGCTTATTCGAGTTGAGCTTAATTCAAGTTGAATTTAAAGTATCCTATCCTCTTAAAAAAGCATATATAGCCAAGGTTAGCCCTAAGTTTTTTGACCGGATTTAGGTTGAGCCGTCAAGCTTGGCCAAAAATACTAACTCTATATACATATAGAGTTGTAAATTCTAATGGTCAGACTGATTTAGGTTGGGCTCAATTCAAGCCAGGCTTAAAATATCCTATCCTTTTAAAAAGGCCCATATAGTCAAGTTTGGCCCTAACTTTTTTTAGGCAGGTTTAGGCTAGCCTGTCGAGCTTAGCTCGAATTATCGGCTCTACAATTTACAACCATAATAATCAATGTTACCTTATAATAACTCACTTTCAATCGCTTACATCACACCTAATCAACCTAAACAAACAATCTCTTTCATTTTCTTACAAACAATGGGTACATTATCTCCAATTAATTCTGTAAACTCCCATTAACTTAAATATTAAAATTTATAGCTTTATAGAACTCAAAATCAACAATTTATGCCATTTACATAGGGTCTAACTACCCTTAATAAATCCAAAATTTCTAAAATTTGTTTCTTCCCTAAATCCAACTTCTCATGGTTCAAATTTCTTATTTATGTTTCAATAAACCCAATTAAACCATCCATTTATTTACATATATCATATTGGAGCATTTTAAACTCATGGTTTAGCTAAAACCACTAAGAATCAATCCTAATGCTTAAATAATCAGTACGCACCATTTTAGAAGCAAGATTAAATCCTAACCACTTCATTTCATTCATTAATTTCAACCATAGCCTCCTCAAATTTAGAAACACCAAGATTCAACCAAAATTTCAAAGGAAAATTAAAACCCTAACTTAAGATTAAGCTAGAATGGAGAAGGAAGGGAATAGGAACTTACTTCTTATGATTCCTAACTCCAAAACTCCTTCAATGGTTGAAAATATTTTGCCCTAGCCAAGCACATGCTACCCTCCATTTTTCCCTTTTCTCTCTTTGACATTTATGTGTTTTTCAACTTTTACAATGCAAATATCATGTTTTTCGTGAGCGGGCTTGTGTAAAACCCACTTAGTTAGACCCCTCCCCTATCCTTGTCCATGAGTAGATAGCTTCAACAAAGGATTTCTCTACGAGTGGAGATGGACAGAGGGCATAACCCTTTCCAACAAGGTCTATCCGTGGGTGATGATAACACCTTGAGTCACGTTCCTGACAAGATGAACACATAATTTCTAGTTTTTCTTTAATTCCATTTTTTTAAATCCCAAATCTTACCCTTCAATCAGCTTATAATTTCGGTATTAAAATTTTAAAATGTTACAATTCTTCTTCTTTTTTATTGCACCTAAAATTTACATAATTTTTTTAAAATGATATCCAAACAAATATCCTAACACAATTGACAAATAAATATCAACAACTTGTGTGTGTGTGTGTGTGTCCATAAATGCACTTCCAAGTCCTGTCTGATGCAGCCTACATATGTTAAAAGCAAAAGAAACGAAGTTGATACAACAACAAGCCTTATCCCATTAGGTGGGGCGGCTACGTAGATTATATGACGCTATTGTGATCTATCATATACCAAGCTTTTAGACATAATGTTAACTAAAATATCTTAATCAACAATTTTTAAAAGTGTTCTCTTTGACCTTCCTTTACTCCTCTTAACAAGGCTCAAAAGAAAAAAAAGTTGATATCACCAGAATTGGATCTTTGAGAATTTGTAGAGATAAGCATTTGGTATTTGGTTCCTTAAGACTACAAATCCTTCCCTAACATGTCAAGCAACTTCCTTGCAGTCCATGTTACATCAATAAGACTATGAAGAGGTGTAACAATATCTTCTGCCATACTCATCAAAAGGGCCCTGCTTTCTGCAACATTAAGAATATAATGCATTAAACAACAGAGAATAAAAATTCTGTGTAGATAATGGAACTGTGCATATATGATGTCCACATTACTTTAAAAAAGCATTTATCTTCACTATTATCATCAACATGGTTTCATCGATATCCCTTAAAATATTCACCGCATAACGGGGTTAATTAGAGAAGAATATTAACAGGGGATATCATAAATTGGAAATGCCAAAGCAGAAATTTTTAGATAGACCCAGTGTATCACATTATCTATGGTCTGTCCAATAAAAATATAACATTCAGTTGGCATTAAATATAAATTGATTTTGACATTAGAGCACCAGTTCATCTAAGAATTTCTCATACCAAAGAAAAAGGTCATGACTTTACTAAAATATAAATTTAATTTTTTTTATTTGCATTAGATGTACTTAATCATATCTAATGACCACTTTACTAAAATATACATTTAGAAGTTTATCATTGTAATAAATGAAGTACTTGGTGACATCTAGTCAATGTGAATTTTGACGTGACTAATCATTATTATTTGATCCTCCCAACCCAATGATAGATTCAATCGGTCTATGTTCCACCATAAGATATTGTGTCCCATGCTAATGTTTGTTTATGCCAACAGTGCAATGTGCAAAAGGTTGAAAAAAATGACAAGGAGCGGCTGAAATGAAAGAAAAAAAGAAATTTGTTATCACTGATCATCCTGTCTCTTGTTTTGTTTATGTAAATCATCTTGTAACTGGTTAGTTACACTAGTTGTTTCATGCATAGTATTTTCTTCGGAGGATCAAAAGCAGAACATGAAAAATAAGGGGAAAATGGATTATTACTTTTTTAATAGGTCCTAACCGAATAAATCTACTAATGGATCCATTATATATTACCCAGAGATATACCTTCTTTTATTTGTAAAGAGCTGATATGATACTAGGTTTAGGCAATGCTAAAAAAGGATTTTGTCGGTTCAAGGTTCCAGAGGAAAGCTTGCCAAAGTTCCTCAGTAATCACGCTAAAAGAACTGTTTATGGAAACTTTGTACCACCTGAAATACCTGGTGAAAATCATGAGCACAGTGTCTAATTGCAGTATGATGAGTGTATTTACAGTTTAGTATCTCCTGTAGCAACACTTCACTTACCCCAAAAAAAAAAAAACAAAAAAAGAAAAAAAGAAAAAACACTTCGAGCAATCCATTATTCTTGACTGAAGGTCCATCACCAGTTATTGTAACTTTGTGTGGGTAATTTGGTTGTATGGATGATCAAAAAACAACCAGTGATAATGTGGAGTAATGCTAAAGCATAATTTCAAGCACTAACTCGAGGCATATCTGAAGGGATTTGGATACCAGTAGTCCTTAAAGAGCTGAAAATTGATGTTGAAACTCATATGAAACTATGGTATGATAATTTGGCAACTATCGGGATGGAAAAAGTCCTCTCCACCATTATGGATCTAACTATGCGGAAATAGATTGTCCATGAAAGACAGTTGAATCAGGCATGACAGAATGGTGTTATATTTTGACAATGCTCAGATAGCTTATTTACTCACTAAATTCTAGATAAGGATCAAGTTTGAGTAACCAAGTTGCAAGCTAAGTATTATTAATATTCACTTCCCTAGGGTGTTGGAAATAATGGGAGTTTCTTTTATGATCTTTTTCTGTTGTTAATTAGTTAGTAAACACTATCCCTGCCTTTCTATCTTATCACGCATCTCACATATAGGTAGTTTTCTATCTTATCATGTATCTTCCCTCCATTTATTTTATGTTTCTTTTCCATGAAAAAAGAAATTCAGCGAAACTAGAACCAAGAAATCCTCACAATTTAAGTTAAAGTACCATTAGCATGCGTCTTGGCTCATGAAGGTAGATATTGCATGTGATGTTGTGATCATTATTCTGAGAACCCAACTAGATTTGTCAGTTCAACCAATTCAACCGGGAACCATTGGTGAACTGACCTTGAGCAGGTCAAAACTGGTAAAACTGGTGATTGGATCAATTACTTAAACAACAACAACAAGCCTTATCCCACTAGATAAGGTTGGTTGCATAGATTGCATGACACTATTGTGCTTTGAACCAATTACTTAAATTTTTTTTATTTTTCAAAATTTTGATCTATATTCTAAATTACAGTTCACAGCTCATGTTTATCTGTATCAAATAAGCATAGAAAAATGAATAGATATGCAGAAATATGAATATATGTATGTATTCTAAACCTGTAAGGTATAAATTATGAAATAAGTATATAAATTTTGGCTCATTCTTTTCTCCTTCCAGTTTATACGATGCTTGCCTGCAATAATTCTGAAATTGGCCAAAATTTTATAAAGCACAAACCTGATATCTTGCTGAAATGAAAACAAGGATAAAGACGCAAGAGTCTTGAGCTCCAAATCGGCACTTTGCAGGATTCCTTTCATCTGATAGATGATGGCAGAGAATGCAGGAAGGGGAGATCCAGAGTTATTTAGTACAGGAAGTCTGGAGCTAAGCCATGTAACTGTTAATAAGCACACCTTCACCAAATCTAGGTATCTAGAGGCTAAACATCTTGAAATGTTCTTCAAAAATGGGCTTTCTCCATCACCAATCAGCAATTCTAACAAGTTCACCAGCCACTCTTGGTTCTTTTCTTCTTCATCTTCCTATGGTGTCATTTAAAATATCAGCCAAGTTACATCATGTGAACTATGCAATCAAAATAGATTCCAATGACAGTGCAAAATTGTTCTGCATAAGAATAAATACTTCTAGAAGCTTGAGCACCAATTCGATTTGGTCCATGAAACAACCATACAACTGTAATAACTTAAGGAGTACATAAATTCAGCTATCAAGATGCTGAGGTAAGAATCATACGATTAAAACAAAAATTTTATCAAGAAATGTAAACTTAGAGATTAAAAATTTAGAAGAGACTGATGAACTAGAACAAAGGATTGCTTCCAACGATACAATTATGTAATAATTCAATAGGGTTCAAAACCGATAAAAAAAAAAAACACAAGAAAGTGGGAGGGAAAAGTGAGAACAGAACATAAAAAGTTGGTGTGTATTTCACCTCATCCTCACCCTCCCCCACCCCCTCCCCCTCTCATTACACACTACAAAAGAAGAGGAGGAGGCGGAGGAGGAAGATTGCAAGGATTGTTAAAGTGGATCCCCCGGGGGGGGGGGGACAGGGGAAATATGCCCTTATAGCCCTCATTCCTAATCAGCATCCTAACTAGAAGAATAAGTTTTCCTGATAGTCAACAGACTAGAACTTATATACGTCGGAAAAAGAAACTAACAATAAGTTGGAAACCACCAATCTTCAGAAAGGAACATTCCAATGATATGAAACCCTCTTCTTAATCATGAAAAGAGAGAAATCATACAATTGTAATGTTAGGCATTATTAATTAACAATAATTACAACTTTCCACAGTTCTGTGTAATTTTATCTTTAATCTTGCACAAGTTACTTTGATGCTATTGCTTTCACTCTTCTTGCATGCAAGTGTACTTGCAGGTCATTTAGTTTATGCAAGTAATTAATTAGAAAGATCACTACATTCCGATATCTAGCTTATATAATTTTAAAAAGTAAAATAATTATATCCAAGTTGTTGATTAAACCAATGCCTACATTAAATGTTTTGGGATTTTCATGTTGCCTGATCCGTTTATGTGCTTTTCACGTCAGTCAAGATTGTTTCTAATAGTACAAGAAAAATGACATTGAATGCATACGATGGGGAAACCAGAACAAGATTTTCAGGATTATTGGGAGCATACCAGTAAATCAAGGTGTAACAGAAGAACAGCAACAAGGGGCTTTTGATGCAGAGAAGAATCAAGATACAAAAGTAGAGCATTCATTGTGTTCAGTATGTCCGCACCAGAAAAGCCATTTAAGAAGGAAATAACATCATTTCTGCGACAAAAAATATTAGGGAAAAAAAAAGTATTCATAGATGAAAGGAGCAATATTAGCGATCATAAGAGCTATAACTTTTCAGGAACTCAAATTATATAGTGCTATATATACCAAAGTGCCTGAAGGAATTACCCTCAACAATTTGTTCAACATGATGTCACAATGATTTATAACTAATTATCCTTTGGGTACGAAAAAGAACGGAATCATTTATCCTATTAGAGTTTTAAAAGCCATTATGTTGATCTAAGAATTTCATCCTTTAGGTCAAGTGGTTCATTGACATGATACCAAAGTCTAATTGATCAAATAATTTAGAACGCAACCCTCATGACCATAAGTGTTACATTTAATTTTCAGTATAAAGCACAATTTACCTCCGATAGCTGCAAGACTCTATGGTATGCATTTCAATTCCAATGGATTTTCACCTCCTTAACATGTAGAGCTAAACAATACTTCACCCCTTGTTTATTAATATTGTACAAGTAATTTGAGCACCAACAATATGCCAAAGTCCAGATGTGCTTATGCCCCTACTCAATTATGTATCTACATGTTTCTTATTTTAATTTTGTTTTATAAATTTTTCAGTGGTAATGATTATAGATAAGATTAGACTTTAAACTTTTACAGGTGCTGTACCAGATATTCTACTTTATGAGTTAGAAATATTTGACTTTCGGAAATAATAATACTTTTTGTTTGTGTAATATGCTAAAAAGTATTACCGTAAACATTTAAAATTTAAAGACGGAAAAACACTGGGGTATAACAGCCGCTTTAATGGAGAACCATATTTATTGATAACCCCTTAAAGAGTTAGAAGCGTGAACAAAGGAGTTGATAGTCAAACTGAGTTGTTTCTTAACAGCCGCTTTAATGGAGAACCATATTTATTGATAACCCCTTAAAGAGTTAGAAGCGTGAACAAAGGAGTTGATAGTCAAACTGAGTTGTTTCTAAACTATCAAAGACAGATTAGGATGCATGCTTTTCCATTTGCGTAGATAAATGAACAAACACGGAAAACATTGAGTCCAAATATTCTCCAATAAATAATTTATTTCATCTTAAAGAGAGAACTAGAAAAATTGAGCCTTTTATTGCGTGTCACCCTCTCTGCAAACTAAAAGGAAGAGGCTTCCAATCATGTAAGACCACTAGTAATATAATATAATAAACTTTGAAGTTGAGGTAGCTGACAAAACCCAAGAAATATAGAAAATAATGATAATATTCACCTTTTAAGAGAGAATAATTCAGTAAGTAATGAAATTGTGCTTGTTCTTGGGGCAACATCCTTGCTTTGAAGAAGGTCAAGAAGACATTTTTTATCAATGTTTCTTGCGATCTGATGCATGCAACTAGAATCTGCTTCACTGCAATGTAGCAATAGTGCCAACACATGTGTTTTCTCTTCCGCATTTCCTAATTCAAACCTCCTAAAAAGAAATGACAGGAGCCCTATAGATATGAGTTGCTTGACATAATTTGTTTTGTTTACTCCATCCAATGAAGTAAAGAGACTCTCCAAATTAAAAACAGAGGCCGCATCATGTTTCAGTTTATGGCTTTCTTTGCCCACAATTTGAGAAGCAAAATCCAGGACGTGACTAAATTGTTCTGACTTCCAATTATCAATCAGACGCTTCAAAACAAGGTTAGTAAATGGCAGGGCACCACAATGTAAACTATTTCCAGACACAGGGCAAGTTTTCTTTCCCTTTTCAAACCAGGCTTTAATGGCTGCTCGTTCAAAGGTTTGACCAGTCTCAAGGGTAGTTGGTTCCCTAAATAAAGTTCCAGTCAAAGGACAAACGAACTCCTGTGGAACAGTTGGAAAATATAATCCTGCAACAAAGTAGTTATGCACTTCATTTACCACTCATCCCTTGGATTATGATAGAATAAGACATGATTTCTCATGGAACTTAAATTAATGAATGTAATTATTTTTTACCTTTAGGAGAAGAGCTCGTCTCTGTTGGCTGCATGTAAATAATTAGGTCAGAAGAGGTCACAAGGGAGAGGGGGGGGGGGACACTATCAAACTATAGAAATTAGCTAAGAATACATTACATTTACAACAGAGCTGGAGACTGATTCCTCACTGGACAGTGAAACAGTAGACACAAAATGCCTTTTGGCATCTTGCATTCCTAAAACAGATCCTGTCACTTCATTAAGAGTGACTTCCTAGTTCTCTCATGCCATAGATCATCTAGCATGTTGCTTTCTACACGAGTGAAAGAGTAAGGAATATCATCACTGACACTTTTCCCCTGCCATTTTTGTTCATCTATCATTGAGGTTCCCTTCTACACCAAAAACAAATGTGAGGATATGTTAGATGCAGTCATGCAGAGCAAAAGAAAAGAGAAACAAGTATATGTGACTCCAATCAATAATTTATTGAAAAAAGAAAACATGCCATAAATATCATGACATAACTGCAAAAAACAAAATCCAATATCATTATTGTAGACCAGTAAAATAACCTATTCACTTTACTTATTTGCAGTTGTAGGTACACATTATTATCATATGGTTAAACAGAAAATAGCAATACCAATGCAATCTAAGGAATAAGATGAAAAGAAATAATAAAATGAGAGAATCAAAACATACAGTATGGCGCTCAATAGCAAGTGTCATCTTATTAAAATCTTCTTCAGTATCTTCATCTGTATATTTAACCACTTCAGAGACAAACGTTAATTTTTGTTCAGCAATAGATGAACCGTGTGAGTGTCTCATGCAGCTCTCTAAGTTATCTTCCATTGTATGCTCTTCCTCCTCTTCCACTCCAGCTTTACTCGAGCTACCAAAGACAGAATCATACAGTTTTTTGCTGACCATTGGCTGTGGTGAGAACGAATCAACAGACGAAGCCAATTCAGAAGAATGACCAAGGGAACTTCCTAGCCGACTTTCTAAAGCAGATATTGATGGAATGGTGACAGAAGGAACTGACGGAGCTTCTGCGCCTTCGGTGAGCCAGTCTTTGTAGTATACAGCAAATGAATAAGTCCCAGAATCCAAATGCTCATTATACACCTTTTCAAGATGCTTTATTTTTCTCGTTTTGCTTGGCATATCAACTAGAATATGAACTTCCCTGTTGTACCATGCCTTCAAATGAGAAAGATGTGGAGAAAATAAGTACTCCCACAATTCAGGCAGCAATGTTGTCCGCGCCTGAGAAGGTGAATCACAAAATACTTGCAAAAGATGCTTCGCTGATATCTTATCCTTTCTCTGTATCTTATATACAACACTGAGGTAAAGATGAGCACAGGCTGACAACTTATAATTTGGAATCCCACATGTAATACCATACTTCAAATCATTTAAGCTTAGACCTGTAATAATGCTTAGCTGCAAAGAGGTCCTTTTCAATTCTTTTTGAGATACAGACTCCTTGGCAGCTTCTTCTATTGTATCAATAGCTTGTTCAAGACTTCTTATGACTTTGGTCTCAGTACCGTTCTCGTCTTCCAGTTCAATGAAATTCAAGGAAGAAAAACAATTGTGATGGATTGTAGTCCGAAAATCTTCATCTTTTAGAAAGCGTTTTATATAACCATTGAGAATAGAAACAACTGCTTGTACAGCAACTTCATCAAGAGCTAGATCAGCAGGTGTCTGCGTTGCAAGACCATGCTTTTTATTATAACTATTTTCAAAGCTTCCGCTAATTGATCTACTGCGTGACCTGTCTTGTTGCTTTATATTCTTCCTTGTATTTCCACTCAACTGTCCAACCATAAGTGTGCTAGAACTGCTGCCATGCCTCTTATCCAACTTTGCATCCTTGACCAGCGTCCCATGCCACTTCTCCCTATACCTGAAATCAATGAAATCTTTTTCTTTCCCTCTATTTGCAATCAACAATTCATTGGAATATATATCTTTAACTCTATTATCTTTTTGCTCACCCACTTCAATTATCTCTTTCCTAGGTATGCGTGCTGATGTTTTGCTGTCATGGTTTTTACTTAACTTCGTGTTGCTGGAAGATTTCTCAACATTTTCATTCTTCAATCCTTCATCCAATTTATCTCTTTCAGCAAGATTATCCCTTGGTCTCCAGCTCTGAGCAGTATCTCTATTATCTCCAATCCGACATTGTGAGGCATAAGATTTTGTTCTCTCCGCTCTAATTCTGTCATCTGATACAGAAAGTCTCTTTTCTTGGTCAATGATAGAGTAATGGGGCTTGGTTACAGGATTAGACTGGAGGGAAGATCTGGTCCTTGCGATTCTTCTACTTCCCTTGAATCCTTCTTCTGCCAGAAGTTCCTCCAAAGATGAAGCCATTTACGTTGGAAATTAGATATCTACAGCAATCGTCACAAGGGAAAAAATGCCCACAGAGAATAAGGGCAATCCATAATTTAAAATAGTTTGGTCGGAAGGTATATCTTCCTGCATACAAAGAACAGAATGATAATCAGAAACAATTCAATCAAGCCAAAATATGCAACTAAGAGCTGAAGATAAGAAATGTCAATATCAGAATTTTAAACAAAAATGGAGTGATAAATAGCGTTCTTAATATTCCGGCTGAAGTGAGCTCCGTGACTAGTTAACGATAATTGTTTACGGGGAAAAGAGAATAAAACGGATAAAGAAAGATGCAATACTGATCAGAAAATTCCAATTCACCTGCACAGAAAAAGGTAAAATTAAAAACACGTCAGAATCTTTAACTAGAAGCAATTTCAAAAACGATATTCCTATTCTTCATGCTGACTTCTATCACAAGTTAACAACAATTGTGGATAAAAAAACAATATAAAATAGATTAAAAAAAGCAAGAACAGTTAAAAAAAAATCATGTTCGCAGATGAAGTTAGGATATAACATTAAAGAAATGCCAGAATCCGTAAGAAGGATCAATTTCAGGAGGAGTGTTTGTATTATTCATGCTGTCTTCTATCACAAGTTCACAATAACTTAATATGAAAAGGAATATAAAAAGGATACAGAAAGACGCATTAATAATCCCAAAATGTTTCTATTCTTGAAGAAAATAACTAATAAGAAATATTAGGATATGTAACAAGAATCAATTTCAGAAATCTTGTTGATCTTATTCACAATTCTTACTGACTTCCATCACAAGTTAACAATAACTCTGTATTAAAAAACAATGAATAGACAAAGAAAGACGCAATAATCATCACAAACATTCCTGTTCCGCAAAACATGAAGCTTAACACAAAATAAATATTAGGATCTGTAACTAATCATTTCGTGCTCTTATTTACTATTACTGAGACTTCCATCACAAGTTTACAATAACCGTGTGGCATATCAACAAAGAAGATAAAAGAAAGACGCACCACGATGAAGATTCAGACATTTCCGTTCATCCGCAACCCATGAAAGTCGAAGCAAACACCTGAAATCCAATCGATTTGACAACAGAGTCTTCAGATCCAAGAGAAGAGAATTTGAGAATATTGGAGAGAAGCTTGAGGAAGAGAACATAGGAGAATGGAGATTGGAGAAAGTCCATGAGAGCGTCGTGCTGCATTAATTAAAGGATTAGGGGAAAAAAAACAAATAGAAAAATAGTGAGAACAAGAACAATTGGCTACAAGAGAGAATGGTGAGAGTTCAGGTAAAGAAGACGGGTAGTGACGTGAGGGAATTATTTGAATCTGTCAAGCTCTGCCTTTTGTATCATTTGTCTAGTGGATTCGGTATTGGCCGGCCGTTGTAGGTTTTAACGCTAATGAGCGCCAACTATCAATTGACGTTCATGCAGTCCACTCTTTATGTTTCTCTTTCAAAAAAAAAAAAAAAAATCGAAAAACTTTAGGCCAATAGGCTATAAACCCATACATGATTTTTTTATTAATTTAACAGTAATATTTTTATAAAGTTCTTACTTACTTCTTCCATTAAAAAATAAAATTTTTTTTAACTAAATCTTACCTCAATAAAATATTTACTTACTTTTAAATCAATTCTATCTTTTCATATTTATCCCTATTAAATACCCTACAATAAATATAAAATCATTCATCGATAGGGATACTTTTAAATAAAGACAATAATTACACCGTAAAAGACTAAAACTACATTATTTTTTTGAACATACAACATACATTTTTAAACGAAGGAAATACCATTCTCTCTATTAAAAATTAAATTTGTTGGTCAAGGCATGAGTTTAATAATTTAATTATCAAAATTATAGTTCAACTATAATCAAATTATCATGAATAAAATATTTTATTAAACTAATCAATATACTAATTCAATATTTTATGTTACGAATATATATATATATATATATTGAACAAAAAATTACTTTTAAAGATTGTCCTATTTGTTAAAAGACATTAAGTTATTTTAAACCTAAGACTTAGGTATGAACATAATATTACAAAACAAGTCAACTTATCCTGGTAAATCGAATACAAAATGTTAACTAAAATTTTTATAATATTAACTAATTTTTTTAATACCTAATCGGGTCCAAAATGCATTTCTTCTTGTAATATTAATTAAGTTTTTTATACCTATATTGGAGAAAGAATTATGTTAACGCACAGTTGGACGCTGCATGTTCAGCAGAATTTGAATCTTAATTTACATTGTAAGAGACTAGTCACTTACACTAAATTTAACCTCCATTAATAATAATTAACGTGGTTTGATTAAATGTTACCGATGTCCACAGGCAAAGGAGAGAAACTTTCATTTTGCCACTAGGTAACAATTTTTTTTTAATTTTTTTAATGATATACTTTTTTAGCTGGAATATAATGATCTTATTAACGCCACAAATTATGAAGATAATAATAATAAATTGTAAAACTTGAAATGAAATAAATCCTAGTTTAAATGAAGCATAGAATGTTTTTCTCTAGGTAAAGATTCCAACAAGATATCAAATTACGTCATAATCTAGGTCAGATCACAAAAAATATCCTAGGCAGTCTGCATGTCCATTATTTTATTAGCTACTTCAAAATCTTCGAGACAATGTTAGCCTTAAAGTATGTCGCTGTTTTTTTCACGTTTATTTTTAGGAACAATAGCACTTAAAGCCCTCAGATCAAAGAAATTAGCATCTAAGGCTCAATCAATATATTTTGAAATTACTCTTCAAGCCCAAGGGCCTTAAATGTAAATATGTTTTTTTTTTGGTAAAAGGACTCATTTGCCCCTCATTTGAAAAAATAATATCATGCACAAAAATATTATGTTGTTAATATATGGATCATATTAGGGGTGTTCAATCTGGATCCGTCCCGATTGGTCCGGTATCGTCCCGATATGATCGGGACGGGTCTTGTCCCGGTCTAAAAATAATCGGGACGGGACTTTACGGGACGGGATACAGGATTACCATCGGGACGTCCCGTCCTGTCCCGAATATTATATATATTATTTTTTATTTTAAATATATTAATTATATTAATATAATTTATACTTATATTAATTATATCAATTATAATTTTAATACTTACAATTCTTATTTAAAATTAAAGTGTTTTTATATTGATAATTTTAATGGCATGAAGTAAACATGGCGATATCTTTTTTATAATATATTAATTATATTAATATAATTTATTCTTATATCTATCTATTTAATAACTTTTATTTATAACATATTTCTTGCTTATTTTTAAAAGAGTAATTAGCTTAGTACATCTTTACTAAAGTAGAAGAATAATTATTTAATGTTGTGTTTGACTTGCCTGTTGTTGCTAATCTTATAGCATAAAGATCACTTGTATTTTTTATTATAATATGTAGTTGTGATTAATATAATTCAATAATTGATTTTAAATTATTGTTATTTATGTACTTGTGTTATTTTAATTTTAAACTTAATAAATTATATAATTTAAAATTTTAATGAACATTATTATTCAGATCTTTTTTTGATATTATTTCATTTATCGGGACGGCGGGACGTCCCGATCTTATCCCAGTCCCGTCCCGAATCTTAATGGGACGGGACGACTTTCGGGACGGGACGGGACACGGGAACAAAATTCAGTCCCAATTTTTTTTTTGGGACGAGACACAGGATGGGGGTATCCTGATCCCGTCCCGTCTCGTGAACACCCCTAGATCATATCATATTATATATGGACATTTTGCTATCCATACACTTATAAAACTTATATATTATTATTCAATTAAACCACATAGATTATGTAAAATGAACGAATATTGTATTATTAATATATAGAATTGTTATATTATACATAGCCATTTTATTTTTTATACACTCAAGAAACTTGTATATTATTGTTCAACTAATCTACATCAATTATGCATAATGAATAGACATTGTGTTATTAATGTATGAATTTTGTTGTATTATATATGAACATTCTATTATTCATTCACATGAGGAACTTGTACATATTCAACTAAACCACACAAATTATATACAATGAACAACCATTATATTGTTAATGTATGAATTTTGTCATGTCATGTGTAAACATTATATTCTTCATATACCTCAAGAACTTGTACATATTGTTCAACTAGACTACACAATCTATATAATAAACATACATTTTGTCATTAATGTATGAGCATTATATTGTACATGCAGTTGAAATGTACATTTCAAATAAGGAACAAAAGAGTCTTTTCACTTGAGAATATATTATTTTTAGGCCTTTGGGCCTGCAGAACAAATTCAAAATGTGTTGGGCCTTAAGTGCAAATTTATTTGATTTGGAGGCCTTAGGTGTCATTGTCCTTTTTCTATAAAGCATTCCCCCAAACAAATGCACAAATTTATAGATTATATACATATATATTCCTAAAGTATAATTTTAATCTTTTAATTTTATATAAAGTTTTAATTTAATTCTTTAATTTTATAAAATATTTATTAACCCATTAATCCTAACATTTTTAATTTCAAATGATTATTTTTTATGTCAATTATTAGTATTTAAAAAAAATTAAACTTAATATGTTAATATAAATTTTTTGTTAATATTTAAAAGTTTAATGTAAAAATTATTAAGGTAAAACTAAAAGTGGTAGAGTTAAAGAACTAAAAAAATATTTTATAAAATTAAAGGACTAAAATGAAACGTCTAAAATTAAATGACTAAATGTTCACTTTAGCTTTTTTTTTTTTGCAGCTTGTATTATTTATGAGTTATGAAAAATAGTATGGCTCACTTCTCTAGCTTCATCCAACGGAACCACATTTCTGACAAAAATTAAGAGGAGAAAAAGAAAAAAAAAAGGTGGAAGCATCAAAACTATAGAGTATAAGCGTCAATATATAGCAAATATCAAGTTTGTCCACCCACACACATATATGATTCTGGACTGTCATTTAACAAGAACATGAAATACACACACTCACTAACTCACGCATGCTTATTATATATATATATCCCTAGACATGGACTCACCTTGCACTGGTCTATTGTTATTATCACTCGTGGACATTTGACTCATGATGATGAACTCGAGTCATCTTCATCATCAAATCATCGCTTGTGATTTATTATTATTATTATGGTCATTATCAAACAGTGATCGTTCTATGTTGTGGTTCTGCAACTTCCTCTTCAACCGAGCGCGTCTGTTCTGGAACCATGTGTACACATTGGCCTCAGAAATTTGGCCATGGTGGCTTAGCACGGCAGTGATGTCCTTGATCTTCGCCTTGCTCGGATGAGCTCCGTCGCCTTCCTCGAATATCTTCTCCAGAATCTCGAGCTGTTTTCTCGTCGGAGCCCATCGCCTTCGGCTGCTCCATCTCTGGCCACCATACAACATCAATGGCTCTCTTTGTTGAATAATGTCTTCCAACTTCACTTCTGGTAAAGAAATTAAACATACTCAAACAGTCACTAAATAAATTACATCGTTGGATAAGTCACACTGTTTATAACTTATAAATTGAAAATTTTATCGATGTTATATATGTAGATGAGCATGCCATTGTTAGCAAGTTTGTTTGTTTCTTGGGAAAATGACTTGTAAGATCTTAAATTTTGAAAATAATGGCAAGAGAAAAATAATATATACATATATATGGATCAACATCCTAAAAGTTTCTAAATTTTAATTTGAAACTGAATTAACATGGAAATATAAAAATGAAGTTTACAGAGCTACGTCAAAACACCCCTCTTTTTCCTCCTTTCCCGCGAACATGCATCACATCATATCAACAAGTTTTTTTTTTTTCCCCGGGAAAATTAATTTTTTCTTGTTCCTTCCATTACGTTGGTAAACTAAACTTTAATTAATTTGCTTCATATGTAAAATGATATTTAAATATAAAACTAAAATTGATAAATAATAATGCTATTTACAAGTCATTAATATTACAGCTTAATCTGCTTAAATGGTATACAATACACACAAAAAAGTTCATCTCATCATCAGCACCGAGATATACTGATAACCCTAGTGGAGGACGTTGTTTAATAAAATCTCTAGCAAAATAGAAAATTTGGGACGAAAATTTGTCGCATAAAAAAGTGTCTTTCAAAAATAATTATGGATTCTGCAATAAAAATTTTGCACACACACACACACACACACATATAGATAGATAGATAGATATCCATCACAAAAATTCCTGCAACACTCTCACTCATGACAGAACAATCCATTACAAAATCAATTTAAGACGAGCTTTTTCTTTCTTTAACTGTCATTGCAAGTTTATCTTTAATCATATGAGATAAACAATGCAATTGTTTTTCAACCTCAATGAAGACGCAACGCACGGGAAAGTAAAATCTAATTATAAAGAGAATGGAAATTAGAGGAACAAGAAGAAGAATTAGTAGGGAATTAGAAAGAGACCTAATGGAAGTGGAAGATCTTGTTGCTGCTGAAACATGAGCCTCTTGTACATATCACTAAGCTTCTCACAAATGGAGGCATATATTGCTATTTGCACTCTTAGAATCTCAATTTGCTCATCGGTCATCACCTTCCTTTCCATAATCTTCCTTAATTATATCTTTCACTGCAGATTTTCTTTCTCAGATGATCTTCTTCTTCACACTGTTACACATCCCTCAGGAGTATGTGTGAGTACGTGTGTGTGTGTGTATAGCACAACAGGGATAAGAATATAAGACTAGAGAACCCTAATCAAGAATATAAGAGTTTCCTATTTTGATTTTTGATAGATTGGGGATTAAGTTTTGGTAACATATACGTGTGTGTATATATATATATATATTACAGATACCATGTAATCTTTTTGATGATGATTGAAGATTGAATAGTGTTAAAAAGTTGTATTGTTGTATAATCATCAGCTTAATTTTTGGTAACAAATTAGTAAAAAGTTTGGTTGTTTCCAAAATAAAATAATAATAAAGGTTTGGTCAAATTAAAAGCTCGATGTCGGTCACATAAAGACATTATTATATACTCTTCGGCTGCGGTTACAGGACTGGCTAGCAATGTTATGATTTGTCATGAATTAATTAATATTATAAATTTAATTAATAAATTTGGAAAATATTAATCAATTAGTCACTAATAATGACTACTATTCACGTTGGCAAGAAAAAAATGCATTGGTTTTGATGCTCCTTGCCTGATCAACAATCTGGATTGTCTATATTTTTAATTTCAACGGTTTAGATTTACAGTTTTTTTATGTGTTATTTCATATTTATTAAAATAAAAATTATAAAATTTTAATTAAATCTAGCTTATAATTAATTTGTATTGTCCAATTTGATCTCGACGATAATTTACAAACTGAAACTTTAAAAAAGATTTAAAGAAAAAGTTGCGCATTAAAAATTTTAAATCTATACTACCTAAAATATATCTAAATAATTAATTTATAAAATTTTTTAATAGTAAATTAGATCATCTAGTTTAAATATGCATTTTCTATATTTATTATAAGACGGATTTATTAAAATTTAATAATTTTTATTTTAATAATATAAAATAAAATAAAAAAATAAAACCTGTAAACCTGGACCTTCCACATATTACTCATCACAAACAGAAAAAAGCTACCATTGACTTACTTTTAAGCAATTCTCCGTACTTTGAAATGTTTATAAAATCTCCATCTCCTCTAAAAAATAAATAAATAAATAAATAAAATCTCCTCGGCTAGAAAGAAAATAGTTTATAAAATCTCTCAAGAAGTTTCCCCGTAAAGTTCATTCCCAAAAATTCAACTTGCTTAATTGCTATGTGATCATAATGTGTGTATGAAAAATATAACCGTTGCTTCTAATATTTCAGCGTGTTTTGATGCGTCGCATTCGATAGTCATCAGATCAGGACCTTTCATTTTACCTCATCAGATTAGGTATTTTAAAATTTTATTTATCAAAATAACAATTTATAAAAAATATGAAAATATTAATATTAAATATAGATTATCTTTTATGCTCATCACCCTCGATGATATCTGGATTCAGATTTGATTTTTTTTACCCTATATTTATCAAAATAAAAATTATAAATTTTTTAATAAAGTTCTTCATCACCAATCTGATTTGTATATATTTCATATGGATGGTCAAATTTAACATTACATTTTTTTATAGTTTTTACAAATTTATTATTGGGAAAATATCATCTAAGGACCATTGGAGAGTTTTTATTTTAAGAAGAAACTTAAAAATATGAAATTTCATTGCACTCTCTTGGTACTTGTATGAAATAAGATTTTATGAGAAAATACCTAATTATCCCAAAAGTTTAATAAAGTGTAGTAATTTAATGGGTTATTGTTAATTACATGTGGTTAGCTGTCAGAACTTGATTGGATGTTTGTTTATAAAGGACTAACGCTTATACAGTTAAACATATGCTATCAGTTATAGTTACATGTTAATTCTAAATGAGTTGTTGCTAATTACGTATAATTACTTGTCAAAACCTAAATAAATGTCATGCTTGTTTATACAGAACCAATACATATACAATTAAACATGTGGTATCATTTATAATCACTTGTTAATTTCAAATGAGTTATTGTTAATTACATAAGGTTATTTATCAAGACTTGAGTCGGGGCTTAATACTAGTAAAATTAAACATGTGCTATCAATTTTTTCAAGTGGTTCATTTTTGGCTGAGTTGTTGTTAATTTTGTAAAATTACTTATCAAAACTTAAACAAATGCTTATTTATGCATTCATAAACCTCTCTCTCTCTCTCTCTCTATGTGTGTGTGAGAGAGAGAGAGAGAGATAGAGGATGTGGAAGCGAAATTATGCTAGTTTATATATAGAGCCCTGAAACACAACAAAAACATAATAACAAAAAGAAAGGGATGAAATTTATGATGAGAACAAAAAAAGAAATGAAATAAACAATAGGATGATGATCAAGGAGGCCTTTGAAGACATTACAAGAGTTGATCATGCTCTTGATCATATCCGTTTTTCATATGAGATGCTACTACAAAGTATTAAGGCTCACAAGAATTATAAACTTTAAAATAAATAATTTTATTCAACTTCGCTTCCCTTTTTACAAGAGAAAGCACGCCTAATATGTATAGACTCATAAAAAAAGCCGATTTTCTAAAATTAAAACTCTAATTTTCTAATACTAAAAAGGGAACAAAAATAATATAAAGTAAAAGAGAAAATATTCAACTATATAATTAGGAGATGTAATCCTAAACTTATGAGATTGCAAAACTTAAAAAAATATAATTAATCTTAATATTTGACTAGACTCAAAATAAAAAACCATGACTAGTCTTACTAATTAAGAAAAGGAGTTAAGTCAAAGGATCACTAAATAGAAAATAATTAAGGAGACAAGCAAAGGATTATAAGGGACTCAGAATCACGTCACCCTTGACCTCTTCACTAGGGTTTCAAGTCTCCTTACTTGTAAGAGGCTCCACTTGTAGTCTTCCTTACATTAAGTTAGGATTTGCATCTCTTAAGCTTAACTCTTCATAGATTTAGGCTTGTGACACATCTTTTTCATGGAGTTCACCTTTTAAATGAATGTTTATCTCACTATTCACGTCCATATAGGTGCATGGGCTATTTGAGCAACCATTTGGGCTTGATAAGGTTCATTCACGTTCTGAAACTCCCATAGTCTATTAGGCAATGCATTTGGGTTCCAATTTAACATAATAAAGCGGAAATACATCATATATATTCATATCAATCATTGCATACCTTTGAAACAAAGAAATAAGGTCAGATTATGGTTTGCACACTGTAGCGTGCACTACATGCACCACAACATGTGGTATAAAGCCATGAGCTTTGACCTTCTTTGTGCCATGCACTGCGGTGCACATGCTAGCTTCTATAGCTATCATTTAATAGCATACATGATGAACTTTTGACGTGTGTTATTTCCACATAGGACGTCCAATTAGAGTGATTCAAGTGTCTACATAAAGCCTAGCTCATAAGCTTACTAATGAGATAGGTTTGGATATGATCTAACAGTCTAATCAAAATTTAAACACTCAGATGCAAAAAGTTATTTTTTAAAAAAATTTAGCACACCCAAGCACACAAGTCACTCATATTGTCTTATTAGACCGTTTTAAGCCTTAATCTAAATTCAAAAGAACCTAATACATTTGATTGACCATATTTTATATCATAAACACACATATATCACTTTTTAACTGTTTAACAACCCATTTTTACATTTGTAAACTAACTCATTTGGCCATTTTCACTATGAATTCACCATAAATTATAACTTTACACATTCACAACATATTTATAATTAAATCTTAGCCCTTGTTAATCATTTCACCACACATTTCCACATATGGGCTAAAATTTATACTACAAATCTCCCAAAAATTATAACTTAAACATGCATGCAATTCCTATAACAACTTATATATACAATATTCACATTAAGTCTTATTTCATTATACAAACTCAACGATTTCATAGCCACGGCACCATTATGCTGGTCCTGACTCTTTCCTCTTGCCTTGACTATTACTTTAACCTGTAAAAATAGGGTGAAGGGTCAAAAATGCCCTAGAAGTATAGAAAGATTACAAATAACCCTAAAGTTAACTATAGGTTATTTATATTCTTTAACCTTAAAATTCTTTGCTCCGTTACCTGCCATTTTCATTTTTTTCATTAGTGGATGCCGCACTTAAATTTTTTAATATTTTTTATTATAAAATATTTTATAGTAAGTCTCACCAATTTTTTTTTAATGTAAAAAATACTTCTCTCTCTCCTCTACTTTATTTCTCTTTCTCTCCTTCTCTCTCTTCCGCAACCCCGTTACCAAAAATCCTTCAGTAGCCTCGAACTTCTTTGAGTTTCACAAATAGCACCATAGTGAAGTGTTTATCACATCGAAGTATGGTGGCTTCCTACCTTCCTCCACCTTCATGTTCATCACTCTCATCTTCAACATGTTCATAACTATTGCAACCACAAAGCTCGCAGTCACACAGGTTTGAATTTATGCAACTTTTATCAGTTATTAAGCTTCTATTGAATTTATTTCAACAACAACATGTCGGCATGACAACCATAATCCCAAGCAAGCTCCATACCATGTCCTTCTCAGTCCTGTCTCTGCCTCTGTCTCTTCTCTATCCTCCAACAAGGATCTCCAACAGCTTGTCTCTGTTTTTAAGAAGAGAAACAGGGGAGAACGATAGGGCATGCATGCAGGGTTGAATGTCAAGCAAGCAAGGCCCTTCACGTGGGTGGGGAAGAAGAAGAAAGCTGGTACAAATAGATTATATGTGCTTGGAAGCCTGGGTTGATTTAGGAAGAATCAGAGATGCTTGACTCGAGTCTATTGAACGTGGATGCTAAGTACTATGCTGATGAGGAGAATGCTTATGACATGAGGAAGCAACTGAAGTGGAAGCAGCAGCATCATCATGTTTATACGGGAGACGGAGAGAGAAAGGGGGAGGAGAGAGAGGGAAGAGGAGACGGAAGGTTGTCGTTCGATTTGCTATCCTTGAAGCTG